TTGGGACTTAACAACTGTGGGAACCGGGCAGGACAGAGAAACCCCCAATAACAAAACCCTGTCTCAGGAAACCAAAATAAACAAAAAGGAAGACAGGCTGTTCTTTTGAGAGTCAGTAACTCGGAGTAAAGTGGTATATGCTCCCCTACATGGTACAGGGGGGCTCATTGCTCCTTATCCCCAATTTCTCCAAAAATCTTTTTTTTTAATCAAAAAGACACAATGTGGTAACCTTTCCCAGATGCCATCTTGATGTGGGATTTCTCTCTGTATCTGTGAATACCACTGATGAATAAAGAGACTGCCTTAGCCTGTTGATAGGGCAGAACTTAGGTAGGCAGGGAAAACTAAACTGAATGCTGGGAGAAAGGAGGCAGAGTCAGGGAGAAGCCATGGAGCTTCCACTGGAGACAGACATGCTGAAACTTTGCTGGTAGGCCACAACCTTGTGGTGATGCACAGATTAATGGAGGTGGGTTAAATCAAGATGTAAGAGTTAGCTACAAATATGCATAAGCTATTGGCCAAATAGTATTATAAATAATATAGTTTCTGTGTGATTATTTCTGGAGTCTGGGCAACGAGGAAATGAACAAGCAGCCTTCCTTACAACACCATCTGAAGCCCTAGCCAATGAGAGGTATCCCGTAGCCCCCAGGACTCTTAACCCACAAAGTGCAAGCTTACTGCAGAGAGGGCAGTGGGACAGGAAGGGCTGACCAAGAGAACATTCGAGTCATCTGGCTTTTGAGAGTAAAACAGACAAATGAAAGGTGACTTTCAGGCTAACTGTTGACGACACCCAAAGTCACTTTGGATTTTGACTTTAAGGATCAGAAAGTCTGCAGGGATGGTGAGGCATTCCTCAGGTCTGAATGGCAGGGAATGAATTGTGTTTTAACACAGTTTATCTTTGGAAATAAGTTGACTGCTGGAGGAAAACGTAGATAGGGCTTGTGTATTCTGGGAAGAAAGTAAGGTGAGCCTGTGAGCCCAGGCCGGGAAACATTGGGACGTGAAGTAGGGGTCCTGTTGAGTGTGCAGTGGGAAGCCTGAGCATGTCTTGGGCTGACGTTGCCGTGGCGATTTGGAGGTGTGAGACTGTGCAGGCAGGTGGATGAGTCTGGGGAGGCGTCCCAGAACCACAGTGTGATCCGTTTGCTGGTTGGCACGATGTGTCTCAGGCACTGACAAAGGTAGATGGGGAAGCATTTTCGCTTGGAAAAGAAGCTAGGATGGGTAGATCATGGCAAATAAGCTAGGATGGGTAGATCATGGCAAATTCTCTAGCAGGGATAAAGCCACGGCTGCTTTCCCTCTTCTGCTCACCTTGTCCTCTGTTTGCTTTGGGCTCGACCAATAGAAAGCAACAGGCTTGCATCTGCAGATTGAGTGAATTCAGCTGTTGAGCTAAATGAAAGAACAGGGCTCATGCCGTGGTTCAACAGGTAAACGCACTTGCCTCCAAGGTCTGGTGAAATGCTTTTCAGTCTTCAGAACCCATGTAAAAAAGTCTAGAATGTGCTGTGGCAGAAACGAGAGACCCTGTCCTAAGAGGTGGAAGGGCACAGCTCACAACTCCCGAGCATTGCCTCCGACCGCCACACAGCTGGCTGGAACTCAATCCTCTGTTTACTTGGCCAGCAGATGGCATCTGCCAGGCTTTCAAAATCATCCCGTGGGCAGTGCCAGCCTTCCGTAGGGCTTGGGGGAGCACCGGGCATTCACGGTGTGTGTGTGTGTGTGTGTGTGTGTGTGTGTGTGTGTGTTTGTGGGGGGTCATGCTGCTCCTGCTGAGAGTAAAGTAGTTTGAACAGCCTTGTGGGGAGAACATTTTTCCTTCAAAGTCTGCGTTTTATAAAATTAGAGAGCCCTTGGTAGCAGCCTAATGCAGAGATGTTTGAGATAGTCTGAATCAATCGAGCTCTCTGCAGGGAGTGTGATTTCTCCAAAATGATGTTTGGAGACTAAAATGACCAAAGTTTCTCAAACCACCAGTTAGTAGAAGATGAACAACTCACTTTCCATCTACTTTCATGGACCTAATATGTCAATATTACATTTTTTATGTGTATGGGTGTTTTGCTTGAATGAATGTCTGTTTGTCATGCATATTCATGGAGGCCAGAAGAGGGCATCACATCTTCTGGACCTGGAACTGGAGTTACAGGTGGTTGTGAGCTGCCATGTGGGTGCTGGGAATCAAATCCAGGGCCTCTGGAAGAGCAACAAGCATTTTTAATTTATGAACTCTCTCTCCATCCCCTTATATTTGTAATCTGACAAAAAACGGATCGGGTGAAGTGGAGAGACGCCTCAGTGGTTAAAAGTGTAGTTGGCTTCCTTAGACGTTCTTGGACCACCAGCCCCCAAATCATGACGCGGAGACTTATTAATTATGAATGCTCAGCCTTAGCTTGGGCTTGTTTCTAGCTAGCTTTTTTCCCTTTAACCTAAGTTAACCAATTTCTGTTGATCTATGTGCTACCCCAAGGTACCTCATCTACGTACTATCCATCCCGCTTTCCCACTTCCTCCATGTCTGTCTGCTTGTCTGTCTGTCTCCCAGCTGGCTGGCTCTTCTTTTCTCCCTGCCTGCCAACCCTACCTATCCCTCCTCTGCCTAGCTATTGGATATTCAGATTTTTATTAGACCAGTCAGGTACCTTAGGCAGACAAGGTGAAACAGTAATACATCTTTACCTAGTTAAGTATTCTATTACTCAACATAAAAGTGTTTATTGCTTTTTTGTTTTGTTTTTTAAAGACAAGGTTTCTCTGTGTAACAGTCCTGACTGTCCTGGAACTAGCTCTGTAGACCAGGTTGGCCTCGAACTCACAGAGACCTACCTGCCTCTACCTCCTAGTGCTGGTATTAAAGGTGTACCCACCACCACCCGGCTCAAGTGTTGACTGCTTTTGCAGAGGATTGGAGATCTGTTCCCAGCATCCACATTTGGTAGGTCACAACACCTGTAACCAGCTCCAGGGAATACAGTGCCCCCTTCTGACCTTCAAAGGCATCTGCATGCACGTGCACACACACACACACACACACACACACACACACACACACACACTTGCATGCATGTAAATAAAAAAGAAAAAACATCTAGCTGGGCCCTGAATATAAAGAATAGACAAAACCAACTGAATCATCAAAATTAATGTTTTATTGTTTTTCAGGGATATATGTATTTTTTTTGCATCAAAAGCTACTTATTAGGAGCTACATTCTGTGAATTAGCCCCATGAGTGAAGTGAGTATTCACTAATACTTTTATTTTCATTGATTATTATTGTTATTATTGGTTTTTTGAGTGGGGTCTTGGTACATGCTCTTGACTATCCTGACACTATGTACACCTGGCTGGTCTCAGACTCAGAGAGATCCACCTGCCTCTGCCTTTCTAGTACTTGGGTAAGAGGCTTGTGCTACCGTGCCTTGGTTCACATCCATGTCTTCTCCCTTATTTGATAAAGAGTTTCGTGGGCTTCATAAACCTTGGGAAGGCGAGCTTGCAGGTTTGGTAAAAGACATGCTTAAGGATGAGCTCTGCCCCTGGATGTCTTGAGAATAGAAATAGGTATATGTTTGCACCACAGTGCTGAGGCCATTGTGACACGGAGCGTGCCATCGAAGTGTTTGTCCCACACTTTGGATGCATGCCATACGGTGATCTGCTTTGGGGTAACATGCAGCCGCAGTGAACCCACCTGCAGTCACAGGCGTGCTGTGACTGGGGTGACAGTCACACTTCTTTCAGGGACTGATTTGGCAGACAGCTTGCAAAGCCTTATTGCCTTCACCGCATTGCCACCAGGCTGAGAGCACAGCTCCCCCAGGCTCTTCTGGCCGCCTGACACAGGCTTCCGTTGCCCCCACAGGCCACGGGGGTAGTGCAGGAGGGACTGGGAGCTCGCTCACACCAGAGCAGGGTGGGAAGAGAAACGACTCAGGCTCAGGCCCGCAGCACTGAGGAGCTTTGGGAACAGCTGCACAAACAGACGCAGCTGTCAGCTGGGAGCAGAGGCAGCATCAACAACCATCAGGTAGAGACCCAGCTGCAGATCACTGTCCTTCCACGCCTGGTTTTCTACTCCATAAAACAATCAAGCTGACTGCTTGACTCTCAAGATCAAAGCGAGCAACCTGTGAGTGAAAATCGAAACCCAGAGCATGGCAGATGGTTAGAGAGGCCTGAAGGGGCGTTAGAGGCTGAGAGGCAAGGGCAGCACACACCTTTGAGCCCTGGCAACCGTAACTCTGGCTGTAATCATGTTCTGATTTTTTGCAGGAATGGGTCTTGAGTCTGCTGCGGGTCTCAAGGGATGACATCATGGTGGCAGAGGACCCCTGTGGCCTTTCTGGAAGCTTTGCAGAAGTCCGTTTTCTTGCCTTTTTCATTCTTAAGCTCCTGGTTTCCTTCTTCCATCTCCAGTGACCTCTGGGTTTTCCCCGTCGCCTTTCTCTCTGATTGGCTACAGTTGGGAAAGATCTTCATTCTTTACAGCTTTATAGGAAAAGACTGGGTGGCCTGGGCAATCCAAGCTCATGGCCCCAGCTGCAGGTCCTTATCTTAAACTTGCAAAGGGCCTGTTGTCAGCTGAGGGATGCACACAGATGCCTCAAATCAGCACGTGAACATTGTGAAGGGGATCATGTCACCTGCTACAGTCCCCACTCAGATCACGGGGCCCTGATAGGGTGGGTGACAAACCCAGAAGACTCATGGTAAACATCCAGCTAGAGGCACAGGAAGCAAAGATACGGGTGTATGAGGAGTGTGAGCTGACGTGGCTGTCCATAATGTATCATCAATCTGTCAGCTTTGTGCGAGGAATGAAATGAGGGTTAATTGATGCATTTCCACCACCATCTGGAGGCGAGGGGCCCACGCGGAGGAGGAGGGGCCCACACGGGGAGGGAGGAGCCCACGTGGGGAAGGAGGGGCCCACACAGGGAGGGAGATCTGCTCAAAGGTGTCGTCTGGGTTTGTGTTCTTGTGTTTTAACTTCTGGGCAAGAACAATAGTTTCTCTTTCTCTTATAAATTTATTTTAAAAATGTATATATGTATATGAATGCCATGTGCAATGCTCTTGGAGGCCAGAAGAGGGCATCAGATTCACTGGAGCTGGAGTCACAGGCAGTTGGGAGCTGAGAGCCAAACTCAGGTCCTCTGCAAGAGCAGCACACACTTTTAACAGCTGAGCCGGAGCCATCTTCTAACCTCATGCTCAGTCTCTTGACATCATCTGGATGTGGAGGGAGTATGTGCTGGCCTCATGTGCTGGGCATCCACTGACTCTGAGGTGAGTGAAGGGTTATACAAGGTGAATGTTGTCACGCTGGGATTGGGGTTGGGGTGGACAGAAGTCAAGAGATCCGAAATAGCTTGAGCTTGGTTCAGTGTTCTCTCTCTCTCTCTCTCTCCCTCCCTCCCTCCCTCCCTCCCTCCCTCCCTTCCTCCCTCCCTCCCTTCCTTTCCTTTAGGTTTTTCAAGACAGGATATCTCTGTAGCTTTGGAGCCTATCCTGGAACTCATTTTGTAGACTAAATTGGCCGTGAACTCACAGAGAACCGGCTTTCCAGCAAACTTTTTTATTTTTATTTTTTAAATCCATATTAAGAGCTAAGCATGGCCCGGGTGGTGGTGGCAGTTTCAGTGACAGTGCACACCTGGCTGTCCTGGAACTCACTCTGTAGACCAGGCTGGCCTTGAACTCAGAGACTGCCTACCTGAGTGCTGGGATTAAAGGTGTGCGCCACCACTGCCCAGCTGGTTCAGTGTTTTCTATGCTGTGAGTTTCTCTTCCCTATATCGTTAGCCAGAGGGTTTTACATCTTTATGAGTCCCAGTTGCATCCTGTTCATAGGCCTTACGTGAGAACTCATAACACGAGGCTGTAATTATTGGGTGTTATCCTCAGTTTGGGATCAAATAAGGATCTGGCCTAGCCACTTCCCAAGAGTTCCAGAAGAGTCATATCCTTGTCATCTTGAAGGAGCCAGGGGAGGAGCTCCCACATAGTGTCCCGTGAGTGGTTGCAAACGGTGCTTGTAGAGGTGGTATCAGGACCCGCTTTTGTTGGTAAGGGGAAAGGCCGGATTTCACATCTACAGAGGGGTTCGGCACTCTGATGTACTAACTGCTTCTCTTTTTCTTTTCAATTGGCCCAAAAGCTGGCTTGAGTTAATCGGTGCAGCAGAAATTAGGAAGGCCTCACCTGGGGCCAGCAGGACGGCAGTTTGATGGTGAAGTTGTGTAATCCTTTCAGACACAGGGTGGCTTTCTGGTGATTGGCAGTGATGAGCAAGCCAGTAAGAAACCCAATATCCTTTCTCTTTAAATATGTTTAATAAAACAGGCACAGTGTCTGAGTGTGCTTGGGTTTCTGTCACAAACATACCAGCGAGCAGAGTCTCACAAAGAGCAGAAAGTTATTCCCATCGTCTGGAGGCTGTGAAGACCAGCATGGGGGTGCAGGGTCAGCAGCTGGTGGTGGCTTGTGTCATGGTCGATGGGCAGCTGTGGATGCGTTCCCACGTGGCTGACGGAGCAATGGGACTCTTCTGGTCTCCTTTATAGGGCCACTAGCTTTGTTCCTAAGGGATCCATCTTGATGATGTCTCCAAATGTCCTGCCATTAGGGGTTAGCTTTAGACAAGTGAGTTGGGGGTGGGGCTATGACTTGAACAGTTTCTCTGCAATGTGATTTTACTTTTGCCATTAGGGTCATTCCGTCTGACAGGTCATTTTTACCGATGAACAGTCTGACACTGTTCAGAATTACAGGCTTGTCATAGACCCCAATAAACTCCTACTGCTTTTAATCTGAACTGTTTTGGGGCCCTTTGGAAACAGCATGGCATGATTTGTGTGGCTGTTGGCACGCTTCTTTGAGTGCTGGAAAAGTCATTGGAAAGAGCTACATCATTTGATCTCTATATGAATTTATTGATGTTGTAATTAACATCAGTTTGAATGTTTCTATCAGATGGGCTGATGCTTTTTAATCATGATCTTGGGCATATGAATTGTATGTGTTTATAGAACATTTAACCTCGTGGTAGTTTTGCATCAACATCAACAGAGAAAGGATAAAAAATACTTTACCTTTGCAACTTACTTAAAATATTATTCTCTCTCTCTCTCTCTCTCTCTCTCTCTCTCTCTCTCTCTCTCTCTCTGTGTGTGTGTGTGTGTGTGTGTGTGTGCATGTGCATGAATGTGGCAGAGGACCAGTTTCGGGGGTTGGTTTTCTCCTACTGTGGGTTCCGGGGTTTGAACTGAGGTTATCAAGCATGCATGGCAAGTGTTCTTTACCCTCCAAGCCATCTAGCTAGCTGGTTTATGCAATTTACTTCCTCAATCAAAATTTAGAAGTCAAAAGGTATATTAAGCCACTGGTATTTGATGGGAACTGAGAGCTCCTGTTCATTTGTTCTTTTTTAATTTTTAGCGTTGCTGAGAATGGGACCCAGAGTCTGATTCATGCTAGGCAAGCACTCCATCACGAGCGACGTCTCCCAGTCCCCAAGGCTTCATCTTAATCATCTGAAAGTGCCAAATAAGGTAATTGCCTTAGCAGCAAAATCTTATAAAAGATGTGTGCGAGTGCGTGTGTGTGTGTGTGTGTGTGTGTGTGTGTGTGGTGGGAAACTGGAAAGACAACTTGGGGTTTAGGAGCACTTGTTGCTCTCCCAGGGGACCCGAGTTCAGTTCCTGGTATCCACATGCTGACCCACAGCCACCTGTTCCAGATCTGACACCTTCTGATGCACAGACAAACAAACATTCAGGTAAAATAGGCATTTACAGACAAAATAAATATCTGAAACTTAAGAATTTGAGGCGGTCGGGATGCAGCATCAGTGTGTTCATGCAAGAGTCGCTTGCTCTGCTAGAAAGGGCTTCAACGGCTAACACAGATTCCAGCGGGGTGAACGAGGATAGACGCAAACTTGCCTACCTGTTGAGTCGAGCTGGAGAGGTGCATTTGTTCAAGGGAGACAGGGGTGACAAGGTTAAGTTCAGATATGGCCTCAGCACATTGAACTTTTCTTAAGACAAGCAGGCAGGTGCTGGAGAGGTAGCTCAGTGGTTAAGAGCATGCATTGTTCTTCCAGAGGACCCGAGTTTGATCCCTAGCACCCACATGAAGTGATTTACAGCCACCTGTAACTCCACCAGCAGGGGATCTGACACCTCAGGGTTCTTCGGCACCTGCACTCTTGTACATGTACCCTACCCTGCCATATGTATGACTAAAGTAGACATAAAAAGGAGAAATGTCCAAACCGATTTCCATAATGGCTGTATTAATCGTCATCCCCTACCAGCAGTGAATAAGGGTTCCTTTACCTCTGCATCCTCTCCAACAGTGGTTGTGAGATTTATTGATGAGAGCCGTTCTAACTGGGGTGAGGTGGGATCTCAGAGTAGGTTTGCTTTGCATTTCTCTGATGGTTAGGGATATTGAACACTTGAAAAAATAGTTGCTTGGATGGTGGCCCACGCCTTTAGCCCCAGTACTCAGGAGGCAGAAGCAGGCAGACCTCTGAGTTTGAGGCCAGCCCAGCCCATTCTAAAGAGTGAGTTCCAGGACAGCCAGGGCTACACAGAGAAACGCTGTCTCAAAAAAAAAAAAAAAAAAAAAACCAACCAAACAAAAACAAACAAACAAACAAACAAAAAACCCACAAAAAAACCCCAGAACAAAAACAAAGCTCCTGACCATTAGTATTTTGTTTTTGAAAACTGTCTATTCGTTTCTGTCCTACGTAGGGTTACTATTGCTGTGATGAAACTGCATGACTCAAAGCAACACGGGGAGGAAAGGGTTTATTTGGCTTACACTTACATCACTGTTCATCACTGAAGGAAGTCAGGGCAGGAACCTGGAAGCAGGAGCTGATGCAGAGGCCATGGCTCGCTTACTGAGTTGCTTTCCTTGGCTTGCTCAGCCTGCTTTCCTCTAGAACCCAGAACCACCAGCCCAGGGACGGCACCACCCACACTGGATTGGGCCCTCTTCCCTCTATCACTAATTAAGAAAGTGCTCTCCAGGTCTGTGTACAGCCTGATCTTATGGAGGCATTTTCTCAATTGAGTCTCCCTCCTTTCTGATACCTCTAGCCTGTGCCAAGTTGACATAAAACTAGCCTGCACAGGTTTATTTGTCCATTGGCTGATTGACAGTTTAATTCTCTTGGTACTTAATTTCTGCAATTCTTTGTAAATCCTGGATGTCAGCCCCTTGTCTGCAGTGTAGCTGGTAAAGATTTTCTTCCACTCCATGGGCGTCTGTGTTCTCTGCTGTTTCCTTTGCCGTACAAACCCTTTTATTTTCACGTGGTCCCATCTGTTGATACTTGGGGGAGTTCTGTACTGTTGGTGTTGTAGAACTGCCGTGCGACCCAGCTATTTCCCTCCTACTCAGAGAATGCCACACCCTAACATAGAGATATTTGCACCCCGTGTTTATTCGATATAGTAAAGGATTGGAATGAACAGAGTTGCCCATCAACAGATGAATGGATAATAAAAATCTGGTATATGTATAAAATGGACTACTACTCAGCTACTACAGAAAAATGAAGTTTAAAATGCCCAGGAAAATGGATGGACCTGGATTGTATAATTTTAAGCAAGGCCACACAATCTCAGAAAGAAAGAAACTGCTTGTTTCCTTTCATATGTGAAATCTAGCCAATAATACATGTGTGTATGTAAACAAATGTACATCCGGGTAAAGTATAACATAAGAACAAGAAAGGCTAAATAAAAGAGGAGAAGGGGGGACTGAATACAGGCAATGGCCATGAGTTATGAGAAAGGATATAAAGGTAACTGTTTCTCTAGTTTTAACTGTCATGGGTGTTTTGGTTTTGGTGGTGGATAAGTGCATAAAATGCATTTGCTCGTGAAGCTGGGAGAGTTAATGTGAACAGCCACAGCTTCCATTGCAAACCAACGGTGACTACACACGTTCACTGAAATGTCGAGGTTAAACCCGGGCTTTTCCCAATTCGGGTTGATTTGGTCTGATTGGATTATTGCGTCGGCAGAGAGGCTTATCGGGGTGCAGGAACTTTTCAGTTGGGTCTAGTTAGTTTTGGTATGTGATGTTTTTATTTATGTGTAAGTTTTTAAAAACAAGTTTCTTTAAAAAAAAAAAGACTGGAGGGCATCTGGCAGGGGCTCCCTCTGGTCCAGCAGGATGAATTGTCCCGTAGTCCCACTGCCCAGTGAAAGAAGAAAGCCTACTACAAGATATATTTGGAAGAGCCCAACAACTTAAAGTCTGGAATGTGGCCCAAGAACATGTAGCAGATGAAGAAACATGTTCGTCCAAGTGTGTTAGGGGTTGGGGTGTGCACTGCTCCTCCAGACAGTCCGAGTTCAGGTCCCAGGGTCCATGTCAGGTGACTCACAGCTGCCTATACAGTAGCTCTAGAGGATCTATGCCCTCATTTGAACTCCATTGGCACCTGTACACAAATGCACACACCTACACAAAACACACATAGCTAAAAATAAGATAATAATAGACATCTTTTAAAAAGAAAAAAAACAAAAACCAAACTGAGTAACCATCCAGCCATTCAAAGGATTAGTATATTGCTATTCATGTTACCCATTTGTATATATCAGTGTGATGTGGTGTACACACACACACACACACACACAGATATACATAAGCTTAGACACATACACAGGCAGATAGATGCATACACACAGGCAGACATACCCACAAAGATATACTCAGAGGCAGACAGACACACACCGACACGCACACAGGCAGACATACTCAACACAGATACACAAACACATAGCCTCATGCATCTACACACACATAGAGACATACACGCATACACACTCCCACAAACAGACACTCACAGACTTACATCCACATGCATACGGACACACATAAATACATGCACATATTGAGTCATGGTACCCTCTTTTCGTCTCCCTCACATCAGAAGGGAAAGATATAGCAATTTGGTCTCTGGGTTGCTTGCATCTCTCTGCCTGACCTGCAGGTGGCTCCCATGTCCTTGGCAGCGTTCTATCTGTGATGCAGATGGCCCTGATAAGAGAGGACAAGACCAGCTTCCACTATCTCTTCTGAGCATCCTGGGAACAGGCTGACTGTTCGGGGTTCATGGCTGCTACCTTGAACTATGTTGGGTTGACGTCTAGATCCAGGCCACTAGTGTAAACATTGCCCCTTTTCTTTTCTGGTTGTTTTCTCAGCCCAGCTTGTCAGTGCCTTAAAACAAAGAGGAAAAAAAACCAAGCCCCAAATTTTCGTTGTAAAGCATTCCACACTGGGAGCCCTGCTCTATCTCTTAGTGTGTACACAGTCCTCAGACCTGATTTCCTTACGTGACTTACTCTTTTGGCTTCATTAAATGCCTCTCCCTTTCTTTTTTGCTTGTGTGTGTGACTGTGTGCGAGGGGTGTCTGCACATGTGGAGGCCAGGAAACAACCTCAGGTGGTGTTCACTGCTCTTTTGAGACAGGGTTGCTCACGGACCTGGCCAGGAGTCTTAGGGATCCACCCACCCTTGCGTCTCCAGCATTGGGATTATAAAAGTGCACAGCCACAGCTGGGTTTCTATGATGCTTTTTCTTGTGAACATGCTGCACATGTCTGGGGACCTGAATCAGACATTATGAGTGACGCCACACCAAGAAGCCATTTAAAGATGATCCCCTTCCTTGACAGACACCTGGACGTTGTCATAAGTCTCAACCTTTTGATTCTGCCCCCCTATTTTGGACAGAAGCTCCAGGGACATAATGACGGAAGCCAAGCTGTCATTGCAAAACCAGAGCATCTGGCTGTGTGAATAGCCCGTGCCTCCTTCACTCAGCTAGGAGCACTTTCTGATCACACTCCTGTTCTTTATGAGATAGAGCATCTGTTGTCACTGCTGTGGCTGCTCACCGTCAGGATGGAGCTGACAACCTGCTGATGCGCTTGCGTCCATGGAGACGGCAGCTGGCTTGTTAGGGCAGCTTTGGAGAGATGTAGCTGAGCATCTCAACATTTGAATTGAGCTTAGGAGCTAGAACCTCTGGGACTGAGGTTCAAATGAAACAGCTGGTGGCTCCCAGTGTCAGGACAGTGACTCAGGGGACCCATTCCGTGGGGATAAGGGAACAAATTTGGTGAGCTTTGCCCTGGGGATGCTGGGCTATGAATGTCTTGATTCATCTGGCTGGAGATGAGATATAGCAATATAGCTACAGGGATATAGCTTTGAAAAATACCCAAATTGTTTATAGCAGTGAGAGTCTTTCTAAAGGTCCCAAATAAAATAACTTTAAGGATGCTATTTTTTAATAGAAAACATCTCATTTCTTTAAAAATACTTTTACTGCTTTAAGCATTTTTATTTTATGTGTACGAGTGCATGTATATATGTATACCATGTGAATGCCTAGTGCCAGCAGAAGCCAGATTGAGGGCGTTGTAACCCCCTGAGACTTGAGCTACAGACAGTTGTGAGCTACTGTGTAGGTCTGGGAACAGACCCTGGGTCTGCCACAAGAGTAGCAAG